TAATAAAAATTAAATGTCCTAGAGGAACCTTTTACATGTCAGGGTAGGCCTAAATATGAAATGCAATATTAGGGTACCAAATACAATAAACTATAATTTAAACATGTAATAATCTATCTACTTAGATAGGTTCTTCAAAGAGTACCATGCTAGAACTCTTATTTCTAAGTTTTGTGAATGCAAGAGAAGAGAAAACAAAGAGAGATTAGTTCACATAACACGTTGGAGCAAATAAAATGATATCGAAATATAAGGTAAAGAAAGAGGAGTAGAATCCCTCCGCTCATGTCTATTGTTACTAATAGGGTAAGGTTGACTCTATCTTAAGCGATTTCTAATATGGATGCATGAAATTGTATTCACTAATACATCTAGACTTGATAAGACTTTAGCCTTTCAAACCTTCAGACCAAAGGGCAAAGGGTTATCAATCCTAAAGTTCTTAGTCAGTGGTTCGAGTGATCCCTCAGACATCGCTATGCGCATGTCGTACCATGACCACATGTCTAAGTGGATCGATCCTAATCCTAATAGGGAGGAGTAGTGTGATAACCATTAAAAGAAAATGAAATGAAGGGTTATAAAGAAAAGTGTATGCGCGCATGAAGTGACCTTTTGAGGGGAGAGATTAACATTATTTAACATACACAAAGGCTCTAAGGTGACTTTTCTCCACCTCAAATGTAAAAAGCGTGATAACATAAATGAAAGTAAACAAATCATTCATTACACACATGTAGGGTGAGAGACGATTACGCATGTAAAATGCAAAAAAAAATCCTAAAAAAAAAGAAAAAAAATGCAATCTAAATATCCTAATGTGATATGTAAAAAGGTTTTAAAAAAATTAACTAAACCAAGTGATTGGACTCACTAGAAGTCCCTAGTGGAGTCGTCAAATCTGTTGCATCCCATTTTTTGAAAAATAAAAAGGAAAGTGTTAAAAAAAGGAGTTTTTTATTTTATTTTATAAATAAAGAAAAAAAAAGGCCTAAAATGGGACTTAAAATATGCGACGGTTTAAATCCAAAACAATAGTCTAAAAAGGGTTTTTAGAAAAAAAGTAGAGTCGTCACTTGGTATTGAATTTAGATGTACTAAGTCACCCAAAATATATTTTAAATAAAAATAAATAAAAACCTTTTTAGATGACTCCAGATCTTTAAAACAAAGAGAAAAGAGTTCAAGAGTCATAGTTGAAAAAAGGAAAGGCAAAGATATGATAAACTCAAATTTAAGACACTCTTTCAACCTAACTAAGACTAGTTACGAGATTTAGTAAAAAATTTTCCTAATCTAACTTCTAAACTTATCACATTTTGGATATTTTTATATGGATGCAAGTCTAAACATAAAGGATATCGGGAGGGTCAAAATATCTGTTCAAAATTTAATTAGTACCAATCACATTAATTATGATGTCTAAAAATATTTCTTTGAAGAAGTCACGAAACATGCAAAAAATGAGACTTAAAAAGCAAATTACAATATAGATAAATATACATGACCTAGAAGAGGGGCATGCAACATAACGGGTACAGGAGACTAAAATTCGTAACTCAATTTTCCTTTTTGTAGAGGGATAATAGTGTAGTAAGGTTAAAAAACCATGCTCGCCCATTTCTCACATTCGAAAGGTGACTCTCCTGATCTAGTCAAGTAAATGGACTAACCTATTTCTAATTTTCTAGAATGAGATGTAATTCTAAATGATATGACCCAAACAATAGAGGGTGAGGGAATAATAGTAGAAGAAATGTCATGCAATTTGAAAATAACCTAAAAATAGGAAAAGATGTGTGAGATGTAATAAATGTCATACAAGGTATGAATCTAGAACAAAAACGGCCTAAAGGGTCTAACATTGGATTACCCCATTTCTATAAATTCTTACTAGCGTTGGACTAGTGAAAAATCGGAGAGAAAGGTTGCAACTAGCATTGGACTAGTACGATGATGTCATGCATTTATTATAAATAAATAAATCATATAAAGTATAATTAAAACAAATAAACACATGAAGCACATAGAGTACATAACACATAGGGGCACTAAGTATTATATTAGGGGCACTAACCACAATATAGAAGGGAAATTTTGAAAATAATAAACATATCTATTATATTTATCTAGCTAAATATATTTTTGGTAAAAATAAAATCTATCTATTACCTGGCCTAAATAAATACATTTCTTGGACACCTATCTATTACAATTTGTATTTAAATGCCTCCCAAATAATCATAAAAAAATAAATAAAACAAAAAAATTTAAATGAATAAAATGAATCAATAAAAGAAAAAAGCACTCAAAGCATGCAATCACACATAAAACACAGAAGAGCACATAAAAGAATTTAAAATAATAATAGAAGGTACCTTCCTTGAAATAATGGTTAAATGAAGTAGGGTTTGCTCTATTTATACTCCAAAATCAACAAAATAACAAAAGTACCAATTTAATTAACAATTTAAAAGAAAACGTGAACATGTAGCAAAATTCATTCTGTTATTTCAAAAAAATATGAAAAAACATAGAATCCCTAAAATTCACCAATTAAATGCATCTAAATGAAGCATAATTAATAATTAAATGAGATAAACAATCATACTTAAGAAATCAAAACATCAGGGACCCAATTGCAAAAATTTTAAAAAGTTTAGTATCAAATTATTATTCTTACAAAAGTTAGGGGTCAAAATCAAAGAAAAATAAAGTTTAGGATCCAAAATGCAATTAAATTAATGACCTACGCAAAATTTGTTTCTGGTCTAACCAACGTTGAACCATTTTTATATAGTCATTGGGCTGCAAACTTTCTTGGGCCCAAAGGAAAACCCGAAGAAAAGAATGGATCGCTTCATTTAATTTACTAACCCAAGTCTTACAAAAAGCGTTGGATTTTGACTTCAAAATCATGTCAAAAACGCAAAGAAAATAAAAGCAAGCCCATGCATTAAAACCCAACAATTTAACTAATCAGATCCAGCATAATACAACAGCTCATTTCTTAAATCACATTCATAAATCCCAAATAATGTTTAATTAAGTAAATAAAAGCCAAACAAAATGTTTAAGCCCTAATTATATGCTAAAGTCCAGAAATAATTCACTCAAAGCATACATAAAACACATAAAAGGAGATCAAGACTTGAAAAGAGAGGAATCGGTTCATTTTTTGCACAAACTTTTGGGCCTTAGGGCGATTACACAAAAATCGGGGGAGCAAATTGCAAATTTCAGATTCCTTCATGTAAGAGCAGCAAAGAGCTTCTAGACTTTGGAAGTTCATGAAACCAAAAAACGTGCGGGAGTGGTTACAAAGCCTCGGATCAAGTACACGTGAGATCATACAACCCAAACATTAACACCAAATTTTATCATCCAAATGCAAGATCGAATATAAAATCATGTGGTAAAAATCTAACTAGTGGGCTGCCACAAGAGGAGGAAAACAGCAGAAATAAAAGAACAAACAATTGCAGCCAAGCTTTGATAGATATTATGAGAATCTAAGCCTACACTAAAAGGAAAGAAATGATAAAAACTACCTTTGATGTTTTATGAAGTCGAATAATGTGGCTGTAATGGGGCAAATCCACGCTTGACACGTGTTAAGCTCGGCAGAGTACACACGTCAGGTCGGCGATAGGGACTCCGCGTCCCACACATGCCAGCTCGGCAGGGAGACGTCAGCTCGGCCGCTCCCGCTGTTCCCTATGGTGGGCCTCATGGGCCGTCGCCTCCGAACTTGTAGGGGCCGCCGCGCAAAACCCTAAGAAGACTCCGAACCCTAAGGGGACTCTGACTCCCACAAGGAAACTACAACTCATTCTGCCCTATATATACAACATCTAAAGGCAATGCAAGGTACGCATACACAAGTACTCTAGACTATTACCTTGTGGACAAGCTTGACTGACTTGACCGTCGGAGTTATTTCAGGGACGCCGGTCCCGCAATTCCCACCTCTCTTCACAGGACCTGTAGCTCGGCTCATCCTCTCAGGTCGGTTGAGCCTGACCAGCTCGGCTCGCTACAGCTCAGCTCGGATCTGGTTTTTGGCAGTCGCATCAATTGGCGCCGTCTGTGGGAAACACGTAATTTATCTCTTGCGAATCATGCCAAGGACGAGGTCTCAGAGGAATGCCGATGGGTCCAAGGGGAATGAAGGAAGCGGTCCCCATCAGGCTGCCCGGAGTTCGACCCCTGGAGCCGAGGGTGCGGGACCCTCACGGATCCCGCCAGAGCAATCGGTTCAGGCGGTGGCAGGGAACCTGCCCACTTTTGAGGCCATTGTGAAATACCTCAGGGAGCAGACAGGAGGACATCTGGGCCAGGGGCCAAAGAACTCGGAGGAGGGTCCAACCGAGTCCAGGACTGGGAGCCCTAACCTCCAGCTCAAGCCAGTGCGCCGGGAGCCCACGCGTGAACACATCGACATGGGGGAGCCCTCCCGTAAGCACTCCCGGACTGAGCATCCGGAGCCTGTCCGGAAGTATTCTAAGGACGAGCTCTCGCCTCGGAAAGAACAGCTCCAGGTGCAGGACGAACTGGACCTGCTCTTGGACACCGAGGCGGATAAGTACATCGCTTCCCCTTTCGTACCCGACATTCAGGATTACCCGCTGCCTGCAAAGTTCAAGATACCTAGCATGAAGTCTTATGATGCAACCACGGATCCGGAGGATCACTTGTTTGCCTTCCTGACCCAAATGCGTCTGCAAACTGCCGCAGATGCGATCAGGTGCAAAACTTTCCCAATGTTTTTGGAGAGCAAGGCCCGTCAATGGTTCCAGGGGCTTCCCCCCAGGTCCATTCGGTCCTTTGCCCAGCTCGCTCGACTGTTTGCGGCCCAGTTCGTGTCGTCACGAGCCTTTTCCAAGAGCACTGCTCATCTGATGACCATCTAGCAGAAGCCAGAGGAGTCCTTGCGCGAGTATATGGTGCGCTTCAATAACGAGTCCCTTCAGGTTTGAGATCGCGATGACAAGGTGGTCATGACAGCCTTCATAAACGGGCTGCACAAGCAGAAGCTCTACACCGAGCTGGTGGAGAAACCTCCCAAGTCCGTTCGGGAGATGCTAGACCGAGCCCATGAGAAGGCCAACGCGGAGGAGGCCAACCGCCTAAAAAGTGCGCAGGAAAGACTGAGAGATGACAAGCGCAGGAAGGGCGCCGACCAGGTAGATGCACGGACTGGGCTGGGAAGAAAGAGCACCTATGACCGTCCCCCCAGGAGCCGCCACCTGGGCGGAGACAAACCTTGGACTGCTCTCACAGCGCCCCGAACTCGGGTCCTCGCGGTGATGGAGCAGGAGGGATTGTCCCGACCTCCCCGACCCCTGGGTGGGGATAAGAGCAGACGCGACCAGGGTCTGTACTGTGTATATCACCGAGATGTGGGACATGACACGGAAGACTGTTGTTACCTGAAGAAAGACATTGAAAAGCTAATAAAACGGGGGCACCTCGGTCAGTTCATAAGAGAGGAACGGTCTGACCAACAGCGGGGGAGGCCCAGGTCAGAGCGACAGGGCTACACCCGGGATCGACCTCAGGGGCCCCGCGGCCGAACTCCCAAGCAGGAAGTTCGAAACCTGGCCGGAGTGATTAATACTATTGCTGGAGGACCTGTCGGAGGGGACAGTCACACAGCTCGGCGGCACAATCGCCCTCCTCCTTCGGGGGAGAGCTCAAACAAGCGATTGAAAATGTATGAGAAAATTATTTATGGACCTGAGGATGCAGTTCCTCTGGCCTCCAATAATCATGAAGCCATTGTGATAGAGGTTGTCACCTGTAACTACAAGGTGAAGAAAGTATACATAGACAATGGAAGTGCTATAGATGTGCTGTATTACAAGACTTTCAAGGAGCTGCAGCTAGAGGATAGGCAGCTCATCCCGGTGCGAACTCCTCTGATCAGGTTTGCAGGCCCTCCCATAAGACCGGAGGGAATGATAACCCTCATGGTCACAGTAGGGGCCTCCCCAAGGTGCCGGACTGTTCCGGTAAACTTTGCGGTGGTGAAAGAGCCCTCATCATACAACATGATCCTGGGACGGCCTACCCTGAATGCCCTCCGAGCTGTTTGTTCCACTTTGCACCTCAATATGAAGTTCCCCACTCCGGATGGGGTGGCAGAGGTGCTTGGAGACCCCGAAGTAGCCAGGGCATGCTATATTGCCACCCTTAAAGGCAAGGAGAAGTTGGTAGCTCAAACTACTTGTTTAGAGCCTTGGGAGCCCCTGGAGAAGGGGGAAAGGTTGGAGACGGATGAAGGGCTGACCGAGCTGCCTGTCCGACTTGACCAGCCTGAGCGCACGGTTAAGGTTGGCACCTGTCTGGGCGATTCGATTCGGGACTCCTTACAATCTCTCTTAGAAGAGTACGCAGAAATTTTTGCGTGGAGTGCGGATGACATGCCAGGGGTCCCGACCGAGCTAGCCGTTCACAGGTTGCAGGTGGACCCCAGTGTCCGACCTGTGAAGCAGAAAAAGAGGAGCTTTGCTCCTGAGAGAAAGGATGTTGTCAAAGGCGAGGTGGGTAAGTTGCTGGAGGCCAAGATCGTTAAGGAGGTCTATTACCCGACCTGGCTAGCCAACCCGGTGCTGGTCAAGAAGGAGGAGAAGGCCTGGAGGATGTGTGTGGATTTCACGGACTTAAACAAGGCCTGCCCAAAGGACTGCTACCCACTTCCCCGGATTGATCAGCTTGTGGACTCAACAGCGGGCTATGAGATCTTCTGTTTCTTGGACTCCTTCAAGGGATATCATCAGATAGCTCTGGACGAGGAGGATCAGGAGAAGACCTCATTTATCATCGAAGAGGGCACGTATTGTTATGTTACCATGCCGTTCGAGCTAAAGAATGCAGGCGCGACCTATCAAAGGTTGGTAAACAAGTTGTTCAAGAATCAAATCGACCGAAACCTGGAAGTTTATGTGGATGATATGTTAGTCAAAAGTCGAACTCAGGATCAGTTCATCTCTGACCTGAGGGAAATTTTTGAGGTCCTCCGGAGCTCACGAATGCGGCTAAACCCAAAGAAGTGTACCTTTGGGGTCAGATCGGGAAAATTCCTGGGCTATATGATTTCCAAAGAAGGGGTGAGAGCTAACCCGGACAAGATCAAGGCTATCATGGACATGGCCCCACCTCGGAATATTAAGGAGGTGCAACGTCTGACAGGGAGGATGGCAGCCTTGAACAGGTTCCTGTCCAAATCAGCAGTTCGGGGGTCGCCTTTCTTCAAGGCCCTAAAAGGAGGTCGGCAGTTTAGCTGGAGTCCGAAGTGCCAGAAGGCGTTTGACGAGCTGAAGGAGCACCTCGCTCGGTTACCAGCCCTGACCTCTCCTGAGTTGGGGGAGACTCCGTTCGTCTACTTAGCTTCGGGAGAGGGGGCCATTAGTGCAGTGCTGGTACGAGAAGAAGACAAAGTCCAGAAGCCTGTATATTATGTCAGTCGCGCCCTGCAAGGGGTTGAGACAAGGTACTCAGCGATAGAACGCTATGTTTTGGCGCTGGTGCATGTAGCTCGGAAGCTCAGGACGTACTTCCAGGCTCATCCTGTGGTGGTCATGACGGACCAGCCCCTGAAGCAGATCCTGTCCAAGCCCGAGTCCTCGGGTCGAATGGTGAAATGGGCTGTGGAGCTGTCAGAATACGACCTGGGATATCAGCCCCGGACGGCCATCAAGGCTCAAGCACTGGCAGACTTCATAGCGGATGGTGTGTCCTTCGGGTTGAATGAAGGGGAGACAGGCCAGACTGGACCGGATGGAGAGGTTAAGGATGCACATGCCGGACGGGCAGCCAGAACCATACAGACCCCTAAGACTACCAAGGCCGTACAGACCAGAGAGGCAGCCGAGGTCCTACGGGCCGAAGACACTGCCGAGGACGCCCAGACCAGTCAGGTAGCAGAGGGCGGGTCGGCCAGAGAAGCTGGAGAGGCCGAATGGGTCCGAGAGGTTGCAGAGGTCGAGCAGGCCATAGACGCAGCTGAGACCCAGCAGGTCGGAGACCCAGCCGAGGTCGCACATCCTAAAAAGATTGCCAAGGCCGAGCTGGCCAGAGCAACAGCCTGAGAGGGGAAGGCTATGGAGGCAGCAAGGCAAGCGGATCCCACGTGGACGCTGTACGTAGACGGTGCGTCAAGCAAAGAAGGATGTGGAGCAAGGCTTCTCCTAATCAGCCCCATGGGGGAGGAGCTGCCCTATGCGCTAAGGTTTGATTTCAGAGCCTCTAATAATGAATCTGAGTACGAGGCCCTAATTGCAGGAATGGAGATGGCCCGGAAGCTAGGGGCCAGGTCGTTAAAGGTCTTTAGTGACTCGCAGCTGATAGTGAACCAGGTATGGGGAAGTTACGAGGTCAAGGAGGGGACGCTGAAAAAATACGTGGCCAAGACACATGAACTGAAGGGCCTGTTCGAGCAGTTCGTGCTGGAGCAGATCCCGCGGAGTCAGAACAAGAGAGCTGACGCCCTGTCCAAACTGGCCTCCATCTCGGCTGGCATCCTAGGTCGGGAGATAGTGGTGGAGGTCGTCAGAAGTCGCGCGTATGACCAGGTCAGTGCTGCGGTCATCCAGGTGGTAAGTTCTTGGATGGATCCTATTGTTCGATACTTGGCACAGGGGGAACTTCCCCCGGGCAGGGTAGAGGCCCGCAAAATTCTCCTCAAGTCGCAGAAGTACACGCTCGCACAGGGAGTCCTATATAGGAAATCCTACTTGCAGCCCTGGCTGAAGTGTATAACACCAGAGGAAGGGGGCTATGTCTTGCGCGAGCTGCATGAGGGCATCTGTGGTAATCACGTGGGTCCCAGGGTATTGGCCAAGAAGGGAATGCTGGCCGGATACTATTGGCCCACCATCTTCAGAGACTCGGCCGAGCTGGTGGCTCGGTGTAAGTCTTGCCAGCTACACGCTCCAATTCATCACACTCCCACTCAGGAAATGATCCCGCTCAGCAGCCCCTGGCCGTTCTTTCAGTGGGGAATTGACCTGTTGGGACCCTTTCCACGAGCTCCAGGGGGCTATGAATACTTGGTGGTAGCTATTGATTACTTCACCAAATGGGTGGAGGCTGAGCCCCTCGGTACAATCAACAGCAGGTCGATCCAGAAGTTCCTGTGGAAAGGCATAGTCTGCCGATATGGCATACCTAGGGCTCTCGTCTCGGATAACGGCCGACAGTTCGCGGATCGTTCGCTCCAAGAGTGGTGCACTGAGCTCGGTATCCAGCAGCACTTCACCTCAGTAGGGCACCCCCAGGCCAATGGACAGGTCGAGAATGTTAACAGAACTATCCTGCACGGTTTGAAGACAATGATAGAATCTGCTCGGACGGGTTGGATAGACGAGCTGCCCACTATACTATGGGCTTACCGGACTACACCTCGGACGGCTACTCAGGAAACTCCATTTGCTCTGGCCTATGGGGTGGAAGCAGTGATCCCTGCGGAAATTGGGATGCCATCATCTAGGGTGCAGCACTTCGTGGCCCAGAGCAACGAGGAAGGAATGCGACTCGATCTAGACCTGCTCGAGCATAGAAGGGAAGAAGCGGCCATAAGAATGGCTAAGTATAAAGGCCAGGTCGCACGTTACTACAATGCCAGGGTAAGGCACCTTTCTTTCAAGCAGGGGGACCTAGTACTACGTAAAAATTTCGTAAACCGAGCTGTGGGCACAGGCAAGTTAGATCCGAACTGGGAAGGTCCTTACGTAGTAAATGAAGCTGACCGAGCAGGGTATTGCAAGCTAGCTCGTCCGGATGGGGACGAGGTTCCGCGCACCTGGCACAACTCAAATTTGAGGCTTTTTCTTTAGTACCCTGCCCGAGCTGATAGTGGTCAGCTGGACAGGTCTGTCCTTCATTTTTTAGTAGTTCGGCGTTTGGGATTATAAATGTACTTAAAGCTTTGAAGTGAAAGGAGAATTTTTACAAATAAAAGAAAAGGTCATACATTTCATTTTCAAAAAGGCATGTACAAGAGGGGGGCCATACAAAAGCGAGCTGGCCAGCTCGGTCCCTACTCTAGTTTAAATCCTACAGACCTATGCTATGTATAAACTGCCTAGCTCTCCCCTTGCTGTTCCAGCTCTGGTTCGGGAGAGAGGGCGGGAAGGGAGGGGTCGGCGATCAAGGCAGCCAGGTCGCGTCCATTGGAGTAGCCTGTGACAAGCCTGTCGATTAAGTTGGTGGCTTGGGGATTGTAATCAGGCCATTTACCCAGGTTAAAACCTGGCAAGTTCTGGGACTTCACATCAATTAAGGCTTTTGTGTAGCCGAGCTGCAGGACAGGGCCATTTAGGAGGGCCAGGTCGTTCATGAAGCGGTCAGACTTCTTGAACTCCTGGACGCCTAGCTGACGCCCCTCTTCCTTCGCCGCTTCCACCAGCTCGGTGCACTTCTTCTGTTCGGCCTCCAGGGTCGCGGCGAGGTCAGTAGCCTTCTTCTTTTCCAACTCGCAGGAGGACTTGGCCTCCTCAAGCTGTTTTTTCAAGGACTCTAGCTCGGCCTCGGCTGTCTCGAGTTGTTTCGACAGCCTTTCCTTGGCAGCGTCGGTCTGGGACAGGTTGACCCCCATATTCTCGTACCGCTGTGCCAGCTCGGCCCCAGCAACGTTGAGGTGCAGACCAAGCGTCAGGTGAGAAGACAGCAAACTTGAGGAGATGTCAGGGAAGTACTAGTTAAGGAGTCACCTGAGCGGTACTAAGATAAAAGTGCTCCAGCAGTTCGGCGTTGGAGGCAAGCTGGATGAAGTGATGATCGCGGGGAAGTATAGCGCCCTTGACAAGTTCCCGGGCAGCTTTAGGGAATTGAGCTCGGTCATTCACTGACAGTCCCCACTTCGGGCAGAAGTGCAGGGGGTGGGGGTGCGAGCTCAGTTCGGCGGGGGGCTTCATAGGGATCACATTCCTCATGCGCCACATAGCGGGGGGTGACTCTGATGAGGCCTGCTGCTCGGCAGTGCTCACCCCATAGTGAGAGGCAACAACAGTGGAAGGCACCTCCTGGAATTGGGGGGAAGTCGCCTCGGTCCTGGCCTTCTTGGCCGTCAATTTCTTCCTCTTCTTCTTTTGCCCCTCCCCCAGTGAGGATTGAGCTGCAGTTTGGGGGGTCGGCACTGGTGGAGGAAGGGGCACCGTGCTGCTCGGCGCGGTAGAAGGCACGGGAGTGGGCGCGCTGCTGCTGGGTCCTCCTATGTTCAGCAACTGGGAGAATCTCTTCACTGCAGAGAAAAAGGATAGGTTAGCTTGGGCGGGGTGATCAAACCCACAAGATAAGAGAGAGGAAACAAAGCCAAGAAGTTACGAGCTGTCAGCTCCTCTGGAAGAAGAGGTCGGAGATCGGGAGCAGGGTCATTCACCTCTGCTCGCATCAGCCCCACCGACCAGAGCTGTGCATTATTAAACTCTTTGACCTTCAGCCGGGCTTCCGAACTGACCAAGCGGTCCAGCTCGGCTGCGGGCAGAGGCGAAGGGATTGGGTCGGAGACCCGGGTTTCCTCCCTCCAGGTCAGGGGAGGAAACCCAGTGTTCTTCACAAAAAAGAAGTACGCTTTCCACCCCTTGATAGAGGAAGGCATGTGCGTAAACAGCTCGCGGGTAGGGAGCTCCTCTCCGCTCCTGCGAGCGAAGTAGAACCACCCGTGAACCGGGCCGCTCACCTTCATTTGAAAGAATGACCGGAATAAATCTAAGGTGTAGGGAATTTCGAGAGCTCGGCATAGAATGAAGAAGCCGAGGATTGACCGAATGGCATTGGGGACGAGCTGGGTAATACGGATACCCCAGAAGGTTAGGATATCATAAAGGAATTGGGGAATTGGAAGGCGGAGACCAGCAATGAGCTGATCCCTGTAGATAGCCACGAAACCAGAAGGAGGTCGGCAAGCGTACTCCCCTGGCCGGGCTGCCCGGGCCTCGAACTGGGGGAGAATGTCGTACCTCCCCACCAGTTCGTCCACATCCCCCAGGTCGAGGAGGGGGGGATAATCTCGACTTCCCCAAAGTCGATGTCTGGCCCCCTAGCAGGTCCTGCCCTGGTGCGAGCTGGAGCCGCCTCCAGAGGAATCTCTGGGGCAGCAGCTCCAGCCTCGGGCTGAGCAGATGGACCAGGTTGGTTCATGGCTATAGCGAGGCTTGGGATTGGGAGAGGAAGGTATTCAGATCTGGACGAGCTGGAAGAAGAAGGGCTGGAGGATGGTATTTCTATAAGTGCTGGTCGGGGGACTCTACGCCTAGGTGCCGAGCTGGTGAGGTCTGAGTGTGTGGAAGAAGACGACATAAAAGGAAAAGAGGACTTACTGGTGAATGAAGGGGAAGAACTGGGGTGAGCTTAGAAGGAAATCCTACTCTCGGACGACCTCACAGGATGCGGAGCGAGCTGAAGAAGACTGGAGAGAGGAGAAAATGAGAAGGAAGGCTTGAAAGTGACGTTTGGTAGGACCTATTTATAGGCTCCTTGGGCGGGAAGCTGAAGAGTCCCGAGGAAGAAATTTATTGCAAAAGGGCGGTTACCTTGGGAGACGTTTTGAGCTGACAACCGCCATCATGAGGACGTGACTCTTGAGGTCATGGTTATGAAGGTAGATGTGGCGGTTATTTGAAGGAGGTGCGTGATCGTGGGATCGTGGGTCCCGCACGGAGCCGATCCGACGCTTCGGGATTTGGTCCAGACTCATGCGACTCATCAGTGACTCTAGACTCAAAAGGGGGCTAGTGTAATGGGGCAAATCCACGCTTGACACGTGTTAAGCTCGGCAGAGTACACACGTCAGGTCGGCGATAGGGACTCCGCGTCCCACACATGCCAGCTCGGCAGGGAGACGTCAGCTCGGCCGCTCCCGCTGTTCCCTATGGTGGGCCTCATGGGCCGCCGCCTCCGAACTTGTAGGGGCCGCCGCGCAAAACCCTAAGAAGACTCCGAACCCTAAGGGGACTCTGACTCCCACAAGGAAACTACAACTCATTCTGCCCTATATATACAACACCTAAAGGCAATGCAAGGTACGCATACACAAGTACTCTAGACTATTACCTTGTGGACAAGCATGACTGACTTGACCGTCGGAGTT